AGCAGCAGCAGCAGCAGCAGCAGCAGCCGGGTCAGCATTTTTTGCAATTCGGCCAAGCCCGAGCCCAGCGTCGGCAGGTCCGACAACCAGTGCCGACCTTCCCAGGAAAGGAAGGCGCGCGCGGGCAAATCCTCCGTCCAGAGGTTCCGCCGAGCGACCGGAAGCGAAGCCCACAACATGCCGATGGGAGAGACGCACCTTACGACACATCGTGGGACGCTCCTTAGTTAAGCGCGGATCAAGCTCATACGCTGCAACGAAGCCTCAGGTATGAAGCCCCACTCACAGGTAGGATTTAGGACAGGCTGGCAAGTTTAAGCGAACGGCTCGTGTAGGCCACGATGGCGAGCGTTCCTAGCCCCAAGGGTGCAGCCCTGGCATTGTGCTCACGCCACATTGACTCGCTCTCGCCCGCCGTCTTGCTCTGTTGATGAAGAGCTCTCCCTTCGCATTCGGCCCGCCGTATTCGTCTGGGCCGGGTCTCTGCATTGAACGAGGGGACCGCCAATGCCGACATGGCCCGAATCACAGCGGCAAGAGACCAATGAGGGAGATGTTACCGCAGTACGTGAAACCGCTCTGCAGCCATCCGACCACCCGGTGCATACAAGGGTGGATGCGGTGTTTGCAGCCGCCTTCACTTTTTCCGTCGCGGCAGCGGAGTCGAATTGCGGAGGCGAAACTGGAGGAAGCAGCCTGACGATGTCATTTTGCCTCTCAAAGTCTCCGGTTTCAAGCTCCGTCGTGCGGAAACTTTTTTTCTTTCGAAGCACGGTCCTCGGGCACAAGACGAGTCAAGACGAGAAGCCGTATTTTTATTTTCTCTTAAACTCGCTCCAGTGGCGGATGTCGCCGCCCCAGAACAGGCGTGTGCATGCCACACGCTCCATTAGCGCCATCGGCACGCCATGCGTGTCTCACGGATCCAAGGTCAGGAACTGGGAGCAACAGCCGGGTCGACGTCAACACTGGTCGGAATAAAGACGATATGGAATGCGCTCGAGTCTGGCGGGCGCTTAGCGTGGCTCTTTTGTCTGGCTCTGCATCCGGCTAGGTCGCCGGCTCGGTTGAGAGGGCGGAAGGCGGCGGCGATGAAGAAGAGACAGAGGGGCCACCTGCTGAAGAGGGGTGCAGCTGGTGGAAGCGTGGAGAGACAGGCGTGATGCCGAGCCTCCGCAAAAGCTGCACGACGTGCATCTGCAAGTTCGATCCGCCCCCCACCTGCCGCCCTGTCGCAGAATGTCGTTTTGTGTTCTTGGCCCGCGACGCCAAAACAATGCCCCCGTGGGAGGGGTGCGCACCCTCGTGAGGTGGGAAAGGGCGCCTTGCTCCCCCACCTTGAACCTGGTCAGCTCTAAGCACCGGCGCGACAGCCGTCACAGATCGACAAGTTGAACCTCCGCACCGCGTTGCTGCCGTTGGCCCCGCCGTTCCGCCTGGAACACGCCGTCATCCGCCGTCTGTGCTTTGGTCTTGGCCTTTTGTCTTCGGAGGCGCTTAGCTTTGACGCTCGTCGGATTGGCCGACGACGTCTCTGGCAACGCCCGCAATGAAGGGCCCCTCACGGCGCCCAAGGCCAAGACCAGCACTCGCCTCTGTTGATGCCGCCCACTCATCGGACCCCCCCTCTGCCTCATCTCGAAGCGTTCGGCTAAAGCTGCCTTGCAGGTCTTGCGCAGCCTCGTCGCCGTCGCTTACTCCGACCGTCTTGACGTCGCGACACGGCCAATTTGCTTGCGCGCCCTGCTCCTTCTCCGGCTGCTCCGGCCCTGGCTAAGACCGTTGGCCACCCGACGCACCTCATTTCATCTCGCTCCGCACCAGATCAGTCGACGGCCGCCTTGGCTTCATCGCTCCGCATACACCAGCCCTCTCGTTTTGTGCCTTGCCTTGCTCCTCTTTCATCCCCGTACATGGCCGAATGCCATCGCGCGTCTGGTCAACCGCCCTCTTGGACTCATCCCCTTATAAAGTCTTTCCGCCAAACATTGCCCCCTCCTTCCCTTTCTTCATCTTACGACCCCGTCAAGACAAGCCCCCCCCCCCTTCCCATCCATCCCTCCTTC